CAGGTGAGAGTTCCATTCATTCAAATGGCACCTTTAGGAAAACCCTTCAGGTTCAACAGTTATACTACAGTGTAAAGATTATATTAAGAAGATATTGTTCAGATGTAGAGATTGCTTTTCTGGAGTATGGTGTCTACTCTTGTAGTATCATCTTTTAAGGGAACGCCACCAATTTTACACACCAAAGTCTGTTTACAGGTCTTAGAGAGCACTACTGCATTTGTGAAAAAAAGTCATTTGTGAGTACACAGGGAGCCGTGTAAAGGCTTGTCTCAAAGCAATGCTGCCTGGATTATGAGATGAGTTATAGCTTGTTTGTTTGATCTAAACAAAAACAATGAAATGATGAATTATGGTTTTAACACTTCAGATTTTACATGCATTAAAAAAGACATAATGTTAATAAATGAGCTTTAGAGGGCTCTCAGGCAGATTTGGCTCAAACCTTCTTGTTGTCCTTAACCTTGTAACCTAAATTTGAGAACAAAAATAAACATATTTCCCCAAATATCAAACTTTTCTTTAAAGAGGACTGAAAATCATACCTCATGTACTAACTAGTCTCTTAGAAACAGTGGTGGTTCAGACTCTTCCAAACCGTTCCATTCCATTACATGCTGCTGTGCCATGGTGACTGTGTTTTCAGCACAGTCTACTGAACAGCTCACCAAACTAAACAAACCAAGGGACAATCAGACAGTAACCATTTTTTCTCCAGGCCGTGTTGCCTGTTGGGTCTTGCTGGCTTGGTTTACTAGTGCTGTAGACGCAAGGATAAGTTATAGGAAACAGTGCAAACAACTGTAATTAGACTCAATAAGTATTTCTATAACCTAGGAGCTTGTATGAGGTGTCTTGTTATTCATTATTTGGGTAAGTACAATTCTGTCTCAAAGTTAGTAGTTGTAGCTTACTTTGTAAGTAGCTTAGCTGTCACTAAGCCATAAAAACGAAATATAATATAATAATATAATATGTGGTAAGTATTTAAAACTATGAAACAGTGGTGATGTATTACACCATTAACACATACGCACATAGAGATGGGAGGGAGATGGTGGGAGGGCATAATGAAGGGATCATAAAAGCAGGTATCTCAGAATATCCTCTGGTCTTACAGGAAAAGAAGAAAGTCATCGTTGGCAGCCTCTCGGGTGAGTGATATAACATTCTTCATGAGGCTTTCTTAGAGCTGTATTGAAAAAATAATTCACAAATGATAAATAAATCAATCTCATAACCACATCATTTGAAAATCCAATGACTTTTGCACCTGTTTGTATAAAAACAAATTCTATGTAGAAAAAAATGATGGGTTGTAATGACTTCTCTGAAATGATCACAAAAACATTAGCTAGGGAGGTTTTTTAAACCTTTTTATTATATGTGTGAAAAACAGTGATATGGTATACATGTTATACAACAAGAATGGCATGATCTGACAAACCACTAATATAAATTAAATTTGAATTTATTTTAGGTATAATTAATATGATTTGCAGGCTAAGATTAAATTTCCTGTTTGTCACTGAGGAAATTTATATCTAATCTAATGTTGTACATAGGGAGCAGGACTTATTACATGTGAGCTCTGAGAGAAATTAATTCTGTCTGTATGTTTGTACTTCTGTGTTTCAGCACATCTCAGCATTTACAGATTGACGTTAAAGACCCTGGTTTATTTCGTTTTTGTGGCACTAACTCATTATTCTGTGACAATGCAACCAAATCTTCCTAGGATGACCCTTTGCTTTCTTGGCGCAGGTAAAAATATTATCCATATTTATTATACAGACTTTTTAAATAATTCTTGGTACGTTGTCCTGATGAGGTTCACTTCAGAGTTTTTTTTAATTTGAACTAATGCATTATTAAAGGTAATAATTTACATACTAGTGCTTTACAAGTCATTATTAAGAACAAATTTGTTGCCAGGTTTTTTAATGTTCGTGGGGATTTTACTTTTTAATGATGAAGATAGGCTTAATGATCAGGTTTGCATTGGAATGTTAAATAAGGGACATGGACTTTGATAACTTAGAGTTCCTGAGTAATGCTTTCCTTACAAATCATAAAAGTCACCATGATGTCCCAGGATGAAGATGCAGTATGTCCTGTGCAATAAACTGAAAGGGGGGAGTAAAAAGTAAATATGTGAAGGGTGGGTAATGGTGGACATTTGAACCTTTAACTCCATGAGCTACGTTTTAATGCCAAGTATGATTTTTTTTTTAGTAGTGTATTAAATTTTTTATTGGCTGGGCAACTCTAAGGCCAACCTTACCCAAAGCGTTCATACTTAGCTAGCCTTTCATTTGATGGCGTGAGTTTTCATTTGTTTTAACAAAGGACAAATCCGTCTCATGTTGTTGGCACATCATTTTGTTAGGGAAGCTCGGACACGGAAATGAACGAGCAATAAAGACGGACCCAGGTAGCTGGCTTCGGTGCAAGTAGTGACAGATTTATTTATAGTGTAAGTCAAAGTGCAATAAACAGATAGGTGCTGAATGGTGAGGAATAACTGGGTGTCTTATATAGACAGGTGTGTGGCTTTCCTAATCACGTGCAATCAGTATAATCAAACACAGCTAAACTCAAATGAAGGTGTAGAACCATCTCAGGGATGATCAGAAGAAATGGACAGCACCTAAGTTAAATATATGAGTGTCACAGCAAAGGGTCTGAATACTTATGACCATGTGATATTTCAGTTTTTCCCGGAGGAGAGGTCCGTAGTCGAAGACAAAAAGAACGCAGGAGCAAGGGGTAAAACGTAATGGATCAAAAGACGATATAACTGGCAAACTAGAAGAAACGGCGAACAAAAGGACCTGAAAATAGGGATTGAACTGGCAAGGGAGTGAACGGTGAGCAGGGTATAAGTAGGGAGGAAACTAATAAGGTGCAGCTGGCGATGATTAGGGGAAATAGGACAGGTGTGTCAGATAGTGTGATCAGGGTAAGGAAGCAAAACTAGAGTGAGAAAAGGAAGAGAGGAAGGTGCAGCCGGGCAAACCTGACACATATTGTGGTGGTGGAATGTAATAAAAAAATTATGAACAACACATGCAACACTTTTATAAAAATAAAAGTTGAGATGAAGTCAGTACTTTTGTATAGCTACATTTGTGGAATTTAGATCTTGATATTTCAGAAGTTGAAAGCATTTATTGATGTGTTATCATATTGTATGTGGAAAATTGTAATGATTCTTTTTGGTTTTACTTACATAGTAATACTGTGTGGGGTGCAGAATGTGAAAACCGCCACAACAGTAAATCCATCAGCTGCTGCCACTGATCAAACCTCAGCTAGTCCGCCCATCGCACCCACAAGTGGCGCAACTGATCCGCCCATCGCACCCACAAGTGGCGCAACTGGTCCGCCCATCGCACCCACAAGTAATGTAACTGGTCCGTCCATCGCACCCACAAGTAACGTAACTGGTCCATCCATCGCACCCACAAGTGGCGCAACTGGTCCATCTGCCACAAACACAACTGGTCCATCTGCCACAAACACAACTGGCCAGTCCACAGGCACAAGCACTGCTTTTGTAAACCAATCAACCCCTAACACTGGGCCTGTGGCAGGAGGTTCATCAGAAGAACTTTCATCTGGCGCCATAGCTGGTATTACTATCGGCTCTATTGCTGGTGTGGCTGCAGTTGGTGAGTACAGTAAATAAGCACACCCTTACATAAAACCTCATTTCTACTTCACCAATAAATATTGTCCTGTTATCCATTAACAAGGACATAACATCTGATACCAGACAAGACAGGCACTAGAAAAGCTTTCTTGGAACTGCTGTCCCCTTATGGACGGCATCTGCATTAATGAAAATCTCATTATCCATATCATCCTATCAAGAGATGATGAGACATTAATTCAAGATTCTGAAAAATCGAACATTTGACTTGCTACATCAAAATTATGACATAAAACCATAATTTTGAGACAGCAAACATAGTATATCTCTAACAATACTGTCGTATTTAATAATAATAAATATAACAATATATTATATGCCAGCAAACATATGCATACTGGCAAGGAAACAATAAGAAAACAAAAAACACAAAATGACTTGAATGTGGTAATTGAGGACACATTTGTCCCAAAAATTCAAAATACCTTGACAAGCGAGGAGCTTCTTACTGTTGGTAAAACTGAAAAATAGTCAGGGGCGAAAGGGCTCTAGTCAGATGTCACTGCTTCAAAGTACTGTTTAAAATGAACACTGAAGAGAATCTACCTTTTTTTCCAGGTGGTGGCATCTTTGGCGTGCTGAAGTACACCGGGAGGGTCTGAGACCTGGTCTTGTCAGACAAGGAACTAAATGGTTAAGGGTTGTAAGATAAAACATTTTCCATGATGAAGTCAAACTGATTCAATTTTGATGTAACTGGACAATGAAAAGAACCTGAAAGGCCCAAATCAGAGTAAAACCATTTGCCTATATACTAGAAGATGATGTCATGGGCCAGTAGGAAGGCATAAAAGACAAAAATTCTGTTTATTAATAATAATAATAATAATAAACTACATCCAATCCCAGCCAACATTGGGAGAGAGGTGGAGTGCACCCTGGACAGGCCATAATTAACCAGATGTAATAAGTAATTTTTTGTAGCAGAAATGATACTGTATTCTTGAAACATGTGCAGTAACTGAGATTTCACAAATAAATAAGACCGACGTCAATATATAAAAATACATACATTTGCTTTTTTTTTAAAATAAGGCCTGGTTTTTGAGCAGTTTTGAATGTTGATGGTAATATTTTCTTATAATTAACTGGACTTAAGTAAGAAACATTGCCTACAATTTGATACTAAGCAAATAACATCCTGTGGTTTTTATTTTACAGCTTTACTGCTACACTACTGAAGACAGCTGTGAGCTTCTGCTAAAAACAGAGCTGATAAGAGAGATAAGACCGAACCATAAATTTGGAACAGAAAAGCCAAAATAATGAGATAAAATAGGTTAAAATGTTTCATAAACCTCACCAGAGTCACATTAGATGTAGGCTAGTTGTGTTTAATTCATCATATTATATTTGACTAGAGGAGCTTAAGAGTAATTCTTAAGAAACATTAGAGTGCGAAGTCATTCACCTTTAATAGTGGATTTTGAGTCAACATGCAGTGTGGCTTTGCTAGGGGTATGGCAAAGACTTTGCTACAGACTGGGATATAATATGATTGGTAACAACTGATAAGTAAAATGAAAGAGAAGTATAACTTAAAAAAAAAAATCAATCTATCAGAGATTTTGGGCCTAACATGCTAGTATGGTAATCTGAGAAAATTTACTGACATGAGCCAGGCTCCCATAGCTTTAAAGTGGACTTTAGCCCACATGAAGCTGGTCTCTATGTTTTATGGTAGCTATGGAAGTGTCAACAACTCTTGGTGATAACACTGAATACAACATCACTCCCATGCAGGTAAATTACTGTTAATGACCTCAGCTCGTGATCAGACTATATAGTGCACACATGAGCCAGAGGGACTGTGTGCATGTGTCTGTGTTACATGCTGAAGTGAGGGGGTGTCCTATCTGTGTGTTTGCTAAAATGACTTATCTTATATGAGCTTTTTTGTTCTTTTGTTTACTTTTTCTTCCAAATTAGTCATACATGTGTTAAACTCAGATTTAAGATGAGCACAGATATACTTCGCTTCTTCAGAAGATTAATACAAAAACAGCCTTCTGGTATCAACATCTACAAATACAGTACATCATCAGAAAATAATAAAGTGTGGACAGTGGTGCAACCGCTTTGAGGAAAAGTTAAAGAAATAAATATTTTATCTGCTTTTTTGACACTTTCTAATTTGAAGTTGGGAGCACTTTGTTGTCACAGGTTGAGTGAAATCTGTTGGCTACAGCTCATCATTTTCTGGTTGTAAAATATTATAAAGTACATGAAGTTGTTGTACATAAAACTGCAAAACATTGCACTATCAACATTAGTATACAGTGTCTAGATTATAACATTATTACTACCTATGGGACTCTGGATAGAGACACAATAATAACAACACATAGGACTTACCAATATTTGTTGAGATATTAAAAAGGCAACCTCATGGTGGTGGCACTCTGAGAGCAAGGTGCCAAATTACCACATTAATGACCAAAGTCAGCTGCCTTCGTCCTCTCAGAAACATGTTTAAAAAAAATCATAGCAATCCCTTGTAAAACATGTTGAGATATTTCAGCCTGAACTAAGATGATGGACAATTCCTAGTGGTGTGGTGAAACAAACACGTTTTGGTGCAAGACAAACAAGACAAAAGAAATAATAGTAGACTTCAGGAAGAACCCCTTCCCTCTGCTGCCTCAAAGGGACTGAGGTGGAGAGGGCTGACAGCCACAAGTTCCTGGGCCTGCAGGTGACATCTGACCTGAGCTGGTCACTGCACACAGCTGCCACAGTGAAGAAAGCCCAGAAGTTCACTGTAGGAAATACTATTACCCTATATTTGTGTATTGTGGTTTTAATGCTTTGTCACCTTTATGCAACTTTTTCTTTCTGGCTTTTGACTGCTTACCTGACTCCAAAGGAGAGCTGCACAAGAATTCATATATACCTAGACTGTCTGTTTATGCATAAATGGCAAATAAAAATCTTGAATCTTGAAGTTTTGAGCTTGTAAACAGCCCCCCCTAGTGGGTCCAGTGTGAAACAAGCACCTACTTCAGATGGCCTCCTTTTATGTAGGTCAAATTCTGACCATTAATCTGCTCATTTGGAAGTTCACAGCAGGCAGTGCACACTCACAGCCAGTTTGTTATTTAATACAAAGAACTTGCCTACATGCAGCACTGGTGGCAGCTCTCAAATAGATTACAAACCTTCTAGGTGAAATTATATATATATATATATATAATAAGATTTTAATGTTGAATGCATCTCTAATGCTGCACGAATGACCAGTTATAGTTACGGTTTGTCTAACATTTGCCATAACAGCTTTACAAAGGTGATAATATGTTTGTGTTTTAGCTTGTGCTACTGCTCCCAGGTGGCCCAGGTGGACTGGTTGATTGTCTACATAGAATATGATTTCTGTTGGCTCATATGGTTGACTGTATAATGGGTTAAAATAATTAACACATGATTCTGTGTAAGTTGACACTGAATTTCAATAATTTATAGGCGCTAAAGTGACTTAGATGTAAAGTTGTCAACAGTATTGCAAGAAAAATTATAGCTAAAGCATTTTTTTTGCACAGCTGCTTTGGTATGTCTGCCTTTTTCATATTCATGGTACTGCCTATAAATACTCTACAAAAATAAAATTTGCTTTGACGTAGAACATCCTCTTTCTGTTAGTGGATTTCCACTGTTACAAGAGAAAACCATAAGGCTTTGTAAAATGAAATACAGTACAGTACACACTTTCACTTGCTGGTATCATATTTAAATAGCATAATTTATATCCTGCAGTCAGTGTGTGTGACACTATTCAAGTCTCTACAGTGTCCTCACTTAATAATGTACTTAGGGTTAATAGTCCATGTTCAAACTGCAAAAAAATACAGAAACTATCAAACTATAAAACATAGTCTAGAGCCAGAGTCCACAGCTGCATGTACACCACGAAAAAGATCTCGTACTCCAAACAGGCATTTTAGGTTTGACTGACAGCTAAACCAAGACTCTTAACCTTTTGACAGTAGAAGTAATTTTTTCCCAGTGTCAGTTCAGTTCTACTCAACATATTGAGCTCGGCTTGAAATCACAAAGTTCAAATGTGCTTGCACATGTGCACATTCACATTCAAATGCGTTTCCTTTTCCTCTCAAAACTGCATTAAGATGAACGTCAACAGGTGGCTGTCCCCTCAGCAGCTTGGCTTTGTGTTGAGAATTCACAGTTTGTAATGGTAAAGTAGGACTCTCTCCACTAGGGTGAGCTCTCTCCTGGCAGGCAGTGTCAAACTCATTTTTAGGCCCAGCTCATCACTCCTCCACAGTCTAAAGCCGACACGTCTGATATTTGCTGTGTGGGGAGGTGGCCAGCTCATAGAAGAGGACGTAGGCGTTGTTGCTGCGAACCTGGCTGGAGGAAATTGGGCTCACCCTGCACAGAACACACACACACAGACACACAGACACACACACACACTAGTTATAACATTATTTGTTTGCAGGTAGGATTTTCATATATTTTAATTACATATTCTTTATTAAATTTGGTATAAAAATAATCATACTGTCACTGCTCACAACCACAGACACACACAGGCATGTACACACATACATACACCAATCTGCACATTTCAGTTGTGAGCTGATACACCTTTTTATACAGCGCAAATGAGGTCGTTTTCATGACAACAGGTACACACAGTAGAGTATAACTGCCTACACAGCTTTGTGCCAGTCGGATAAGATGATATGTGAGGTAATATGATGATCCATGAGTAAATGTGAGAGCTGATACCTGGTGTCGTTGTAGCTGTACCACTCCCCCAGCGCAGGGTTCCTGCAGTATGCTGTGTAATGGCCTCCCAAAGTGTTTCCCCAGTGGTTGGATACTGCGTACAGGTTATACACAGCACGCTCTGCAGGGAGACACAACACTGTCAATCAGCCCTAATGTAGTCAGAACTCATTAAATCCAGCTGACCTTGGAAAGTACACAAATTGTCTTCGTCTCTGCTGGGGACTCACCGCTGCTCTCTGAGGCAAATTCCCGCAGGTCCAGCTCTTTGAGGGGGAAGTTGACATAAGTGGAAAGTTTGCTGGCTTGGATGTTAGAGTCGGAGAAACGCTTCAGGTCTGAGAGGAACAGAGAGTCAAGGAACAGATGCCTGGTTTTCTGAGGGTTCATCACTATATTGCTAATATAAAAATATAGAATATTTCAGCCTTACGAATGTATTCTACTCATAATGATTATGTAATATTACTTAGATGTTGGAGTCAAACATCTGCACATACTGGGTGCAGATATTTTTGTAATAAGCTGGACACTGGCTCACAAAAAATATCCATATGTTTCTGGAAGATCACTGACTTAGTGTATGCTAATATATTAGCAAGAAATGTACCTGCATGGTACAAGTATTAAACCAAGGGTGCAAAGATGTAAGGAAAAGGATACGAAGTACAAGGATCTGAGGAAACTTCTGGATGCTGAATCTTTTGGTGCATTTCCTTCTGGCTTTGCATCGGTTGCATGTCTGAGAGAGAAGCACAGAGAAGCAGTGAGATGCTGCTGTATAGTCCACATATCAGATTTACAAAGAAATGTGATGTTATTTATTTGAGGCTTCTTACAGGTCTCTCCTCTCCATCTAACACATCTTCTTTTGTAAAGAGTCTCAAGCAGTCTTTGAGTGTCACTTCACCTGAGCTCTTCTGTGGAGATGCACAGTACATCCAGTCAAGAAAGGTACGAGATTTTATAGCATAGCCAATGCTAATTTAAAAAAAAATCTTGATGGTTGTGTGTGCTGACCTGTGCAATAGGTATGGATAGGTCCCAGAAAGGATCAAACATGGTGGAGCGGAAGCCACAAACTGAGCAGGTTAGAGAACTTTTCAGTTGTCCAACAAATAGATCTAAAGGTGGAAACAAAGGATAAAGAATTACATTTAATGCACTTATAAATTCAAGGACAATTTAAGGTCATTATGCAGCTATAACCCAAAAATCACCTACCCACTACTTTGCTGTCTTCTCTCTCCAAGTACATATTCCACATCCGTTTGCCTTTTTCATCATCCCTGTCAAAAAAAAAAAACATTCCCATTTTTCACACGTTTGAGGTACTTTGGAATACATCGTTCAGAAACATCCATATAGCCACAAAATATCTGCAGCCAGGCATACAGCAGTGTTTTTCAGCAGTGACACCGCAGGTTATGAGTGACTTATTTGGGACAGAGGCAAGAGGCGCCTGGTGTGTTAACTCACGAGAGATGGTCAAAGTCCTCAGCAGACACCTGAGGACGGACTGTCACTCTGTTCACCTCATTATGGAGGCCGTCCAATAAGCAACGCAGAAATTCCTGGGCATCCTGCTGACTGCAGAGACACGTACAGAGAAACCGGTACTTTAGTCGCACAATTTTAACTAGCATTTTACTAGTTTTACTTACTGAATTTACTACTTAATTTTTGAGCTGCATTAAGTGAATTTAAATGAAAAGCATTATAGGCAGGACTTACTTGCAACCTACAAATTTGGGAGCATATCTTTGGATCTGGTTCCTGAAATCAGAAGGACTGATGGCCTCATTCACAGATGACCAAAGGCTTTGAGTCAGCTTAGCAAACTCTGAGACAGCCAGCGAAGGGAAGAGAAGGACAGAAAGAACATGAGACCACAATTATTAAAAAAAAAAAAAATATCTGCAACTTGTGAGAAATACCATGCTAGGTGAGGCAACTATTCTGTACCAATTATAGACAAACAAAAAACTGTGGCACAAAAAATGGCAGCCTTCTGAACTGATTGCAGTTAAGTGGGTTTAGTTAGGAATCCGAGTGTATTTTTATCATTTTGATCTGGTTCATGTCCCCTGCCTTTTAGTGATCAGTTGTTATATCTTTAGCAGAGTGTCAGTGCAGCACAGCAGTACATGCATGTAGTTTAAGACTAGAGAGGATAAAGCAGGCTACATATAAACTAAAAATATGAGTATGTGACCTACTGTCAAGCCATACATTGACTCATTTTTGACAAGGTGTGAGACAAAGCTCCACATTACGCTGCTAACGAGTGGTTTAGTAGTTCAGTGGGTCCTTCTACCTTCCATGAGAGCAGCGTTATCCCTGCAGTTGTTGTTGAGGTCTGTGCGATGGATGTTTCTCAGGCAGTAATCTCTCAGCTCCGGAGTGTTACTCAGACATTGTACGATGGAGTTCATAAAACACTGGAAATCACAATGGACAAAAAAAAAAAACAAACAGGGTACATTGGAGGTTTCAGGATGTCAAAGTGGTGTACTGTGTGGGTACATCCCATGTCGCTTATAAGCACTGTTGTTTCTCTCACTTGCATCTTTTCCTTATGTTGTAGTCACACATAAGATTTGGGGAAAACATGAGGAGAAAGGACTTGAGGAAAATTGTTACTAACAACGAGACATCCATTCCTCAGGATCCAATCACCAAATAATTTCTGATAAAGAGGTGTGTCAGGTCACAAAAACTTCCAAGAAGGATGGCCTCATGTATCCTCGGTCATAGCTCCTTCAGCACCCTCCTCAGTCCTCAGAGTTGATATATAAGAGACCCAGAAGTTGTTCTGGTTGACTGAGGATGTAGGAATGATCTTATAAGAGACATGAGATGCACCCTATGTTAGACCACAAAGAAGGTTAAAGGGACTTACTGTGTTCCCTAGGTTTCTTAGTCCCACCAGGCCCTGGGGACTTTTATTCTGTTTAAAAAAAATAAAAAGAGAGAAGAAATTTTAGTTTCTTTACCAGTTAAACTAGTCATTTCCCAACATATCTGTGAGTAAAGGCATTATACTGCACGAGAAACACTCCACAGGAAGTTAGAGAATGCCATACTATAATTAATTGGTTCAAATATCAAAGTTCTGAAGGGTTTAGGGAATTATGTGAGCAGACTACAAAACCTCAAGCTGATTGAGTAGATGGATCTTCTAAACTGATAAATACATTTTTAAGCGCTTTTTGCCCATTTCATTGACAACCGTGCCAATAAATTTGCAAAAGAATAACATAAATATTGGTCCACTTTCGATGTATGGGCTGATGATCAGGTGAGGAAGAGCCTGCAATTTTCTACAAGTGCCCATATTGTTCTCTTCCTTATCGGTGTAGCCACCTGTACAACCCAGCAGATAAGACTGTACATGGTACCCGGATGACAACGCCACTGTACAACAGCAACCTCGTTACATTCCGCAAGTGTGAATAAGCCTCAAAGACTGTGTGGTATTTATGCAACACATACCATATGACAGTCACATTGTACAGTAGCACTGCAAGACTGCACTGCTGATGGTGGCTATCACATGCTCTGATGCAAATCCACAGTGTGTCCCGACTTCTTTCTGTACTGATGAGCCCACCAGTCACCACTCAGACAACAGTGACATCACAAAAGCATGTGATACAGACTAGAGAGAAGAGCTCTACCGAGTATCCGCACAACATGGTGTCAAGTTGTTTGTGCAAAAGGTTTCACATCACCGTCCAGGTTAAGGATAAACTACTTCAGTTGCCACTGGTACTGCAGTTTTTATGACCTGTAGGCTCAGATGATGCAGGATTCAGAAAATCATTGCACAGCTATTCAAAGCATTACTTCTAGGTTTTAGACTGCTGCGCTGCTGACTGCCATCACCCAGATGTCTAATAAAGGTTTGTCACATTTCAATTGAGTTTAGACCAGTTTTAACCTCCATCTTTCTATACCAGCTACACAAGAACTGTATATGCAGTCACTGTCTGAACAGGTGACAAACTGTGACCTGTAGCTCATCCTGAGTGAGGGAACATAGTCACTGTGTAACATGATAACTCAGAGCAAGTCAGCACTGTCATGCACGAACACCTCTGCTGACGACTGCGGAGCTGCATGTGGAAATAACAGCGTCAAGGTGGCAACGCACTGACAGAAGCAGAAATGGAGGCACAGCTGCAAATATATAAGCACTCAAACTGTAACCTGAGCAGCAGCATCAGACACCTGTAGTTCATTTTTAATTATACTGAGTTTTACTTTCTCTTTTGTTCATTTGCTACTGCTAAAAAATGAATATACCTCTGACAAAAAGTGGACACTTCAATTTAATTGTCTAGTGTACTGCATTGATAGTGTTGCAAATGCATTATATCCATGTTACAGAGGTCAGATTTGGAAAGCATGAAGCAAGATTTGAAGTACAGAGCTAAGCAGAAAGATAACAGATAATAATTTGCTTACAGGTCACATAAGGCATGGCACATAAAAATGAACAGGTTTAGCACTTCATGATAACTGTTGTGTTGTTCCAAATGCTTTTCATGAACTGTGTGTTGAACTGTGACAACAGAGACTATCAACAGGCTTCTTAGCTGAATTCATGTTTTTCCTTTCCCTTTCCCTTCTTTGCTGCAGCATTAGAAAGTGATTATATGGTGCGAGTCCCAGTCTGCTGCTCTGCTCTGGTGAATACTGACCAGTGGGGCTTGGCACGCTCAGCAGGTGTCTGGTGATTTAAAAGACTTATTGAAAAACTGAGGAAGTGATGTGTTTGGGTACTGTAATCTCTGTGCTCTGATCAACCCCCTCCACTGGCTGGCATGCCTTCAATGACAGAGCTAGAGAATGGCATGTCCTAAACCAGCTTTGAATACCTGATCAAGGTCATGGAATATGAAATGAAGGACGCAACACTCCTGCGAACACATGGTGCCAGCTACGCCACTCCCTCGAATACTATAAATCTCTTTTACATAGCAGCAGGCCTGGGAAAGGGCCTAAATACCATATTCAAATAGAAGTAGGCTACTTTTTGGAAACTGTACTAAGAAGATAATCTGCTGAAAAATATCTATTTTGGTTAGAAAAAAATGACTTAAAATGCACTGGGAACAAAGCTATGGAGTTGATTTTCATCTTATTTTACAATTAGTTGATCAGAAAAATAATCTGCAACTATTTTGATAACTGATTAGATAATTGCCTGGTGAAAAGTCAGAGGACCATCAGATTCATGGCAATCCATCCACTAATTGTGGAGATATTTCAGTCTGCACCAAAGTGATGTATCAACTGACCAATCTGCATCTCTGGACCTGCCAGCATGGCAGTCTGTGCTAACACTAAAGCAGAAGTTCTGGTTGTTTAGGAACTAAAAACTACTATTAAAAAAAATCACTTACTGTACACTAAGAAAAGAAATTGCCATTAGATAGTGTATGTCGTGTAAACACAAGCATGCATACTGCTAAGAGCACAGATTATCTATGGAAACCAACAGTATCCCTACAGTTCTAGCAAAGACAAGGAGATGAAGTAATGTGACCCCAGGCCAACTCACTCCCACTGTGTTAACACCTCCAACTCACACAGATATATGCAGGCTGTGGACAGCTCTGTGTGATAACAGGATGTACTGTGGAGATGATCTGGATCCATTCCTTATCAGAAGCATTCCTTCCTATTGGGCAACAAATGTAACACTAGAATTGTTACACTGATGCAGCCAAATGCTGTTCAGAACTCCCTTGCACTTTGCTCCTGCCTGTTTGTGTGAGCTGCTGCCCAGTCCTTTAACATTTATGGGCTAATGAGGGCCAAATGGTGAGATCTGGACCTCTATAAACATTTCTTTGGCATTGCTGAGTAAGAGATTGAGATTTTACCTACTTTTATACTCTTAAAATCTGTGCAAAATGACATTTTCGCGCTATAATCAGCCTCAAAAATACATTCAACACTTTACTGTTAGGTGACAAAGTGGCAGTGATCCGACTTACAGTATGTTGTCTATTTTCTGTCTCCTGCAGTAACCATGACATGTCTATGGATGTGAATCACTGTTTATGGAGCTGTGGTATTTACATATAAATATAATGATGCCATTGTCAGATTTATGGGTGATCATATATCAGATTGCATTTGCGCTCTATGCATGTTAACTGTTTTAAAAAAGTAGGCTACACACAATTACATAAGGTTGTTTAATAACTAGACAACTAGAACAAAACGTCTATTTAGAAAGTTAGTAGGAAGTGAAAGAAGAGAATTCTTTACAAAAGGTGAGACAGGAGGTGCAGTACGTGGACTCACCTTGGCCTGGTTGATGATCAGACCCATGAATGTGGACACCAGCACAGACCGGGAAAACGAAGAACCCTTGCGCCGCAGATCCGGTCTGTCTAACGAGAAAGCGGCCGGTTCCTCCGGTACTGTTACCGTGTAGGAGTGTCGCAGAGACGGCATTGTAGCGCTGCTAAATTACTGTCTTCCGACAGCAGGGTGTCATCCAATGCACAGGCAAATCCACTAACAAGCTCGTTGCCGAGCTGCAGTCAAGTGGAAATAAACCGATGATGAGGTAAGCCTCTTGTCGTCCTTCTGTATAAGCAGGTTGTCACCGTCTGCCGTCTCACACCTGTGCACAGCCCTCCTGCGTTTTTTAAGCAAAACATAGAGGTAGCCTGAGTTTTTAGTGCGTGCTCTAAACGCACCCTCCCACTAAGAGACCATAAATAGATACGACTGATGCTGCCTTTAGGTGCTGTAGGAAACATTAAAACTGCGAAAAACACAACACTAATACTCCATTACAAAGAAAAGATGAATAGAGTAAAGTAAAAGTACGTCAGTTTGATCAAAAAATATAGGTAACCTTACGTTCCCTCCAATGATATATTATTCTCACTATACATAATATCATTCAAAGGGGCCCAATGCATTAATAATCACAATATATTAATATGGATTAACATATTGTTCTGAATTGGGCCACTGGCATTTCACATATATTTTGAGGTTAACACTTACATTAAGACTCGAGGTCCACGGTAGAGAACTACTGTAGTTTTGATAGTGTTAATACTTCACTTCTATCCATTGGTCTATCTAAATACTAGTTTCTGAGTAATTTTACTATGAAGATTTGAAAATATGTTTAGAATGGTCTTTTTGAGTAGTGTACTACCATTGCAATTAATGAATATATTTAATTACCCAGAAAGACAACTAAACCTTTATGGAAAAAAGTTCTAGTGTCAAGGGCATGAGTTTTACGCACCACTTCAGTCAGCATATCAGTGCTGATAATGCAGAAACACCTTAGATAACGTTTTAGCTGAGGGGCTATGTGAACATACTCACTGATATCTGTCTATCCAGCAATGACAATAAGTTGAACCAAGAAACATTTTGCTCAGAATTTACTCTCAACATTCAGATATCTTTGACAAGATGGTTTTAATGGTTTCCTGTTTGTGCTATTATAGCAAAAGAAACAGTTATTTTATTTATTTATTATTTATTTTATTAAAGACTTTGCTTCACAGAAATCACACTTCTTCTGTAGCCAACACTGAATATGGGGGATTTGGGTGGACAGAAAAATATTGTATCCATCAACAAAAAATTAAGAAGTCCCATCAGCTGATTTCCACCATCCAACATTAGCTCCTAGCAGAGAGACTTGCTGACGTTCTTTAATCTGTAGACTGTGGTTCTGGTTTGACACAGTTAGCTGTGAGCCTGATAAGAAGCTTGATAGCTACCTTGTAAACCTTTATAGGTCCTTCAACCCTATGCCTTCACTTTAATCTTTTAACTGTGACAGGGAGATTATTAACATCTTGAGCAAAGTCTAGTTGTTTCAGAGACGTAACACCACAGTTAGCTAATGAATCAGGCTTTATACCTGTGTATATTACAGCATATGGGGAGAGCTGAAATCATATGTTTATTACACACAATATATCAATTTAGCTGAACAAAACTAAAAGACCTAGAGGCTGTTGGAATGACACACTGATGACTCTCAGCTGTAATGGAGCTTAAAAAGTAAATGCATTTGAGTCAAAGCGGTTTTATTCCCTTTGCAATATGAATGTGATTGGGAAAACCTGAGGTAGTTCATTATTTATATTTTTATATTGCCTGTGTACAAGGGGGAACATTGGCTTGACTGTGGTGAAGAAAGGTCAGGTCAGCAATAATATTAGTAATAATATCATATATATCAATACTAATAATATATAATAAATAATATAATACAATAAAATAATAATATTAGCACTAATATTTGTATCTATCCTCTAGAGATTGTGAATATTAACAGCAAACTTTAAGGCAATGCCAACCAGTAACTGTCTTATGGTAGATACTGTAACAATCAAAGATGAAATTCCATTCATACTGCACTGCCACACCATAGAAACAATTAATGTGCACACATTATGTGTGGAGACAACTTAAACAGTGCTCATATTCAAGAAAACCCAACATAAGCACTGACAAGAACAAACCTCATAATTGAACATATTTTTTGCACTCAGTTGTTTATTCACATATGACAACTTTTTGTCAGTTTTTTGCCTTTAGGTTGTTGTTGGTATGGAGCCTGCTAAAGTATTTTGGATGTGAGCGCCCTACATTTTGTTTCATTGTACAGTAGATAAACATTTGATGTAGACAATGCTTCGAGGTTTTATCCTATTACTTCCAATGGATGCAGGCATCCAACTCACTGTTTAAATGGGGCTTGTAAATGCACAGATTGGTGCCAGAGCACATCAGCAGCCTCCTTATAAAACAAATGAGCTATCATGCTTCCTTGCAACTACTTTGTGTGTTATTATGATGATCAAATCAACATGCATCAAAGTTATGTTGTGTCCCACTCTTAGAAGAGGCTGTGAAGGGCTCACTGAATAGTTCCCTGTTGTGATGCCCTGTTAATTATTTCACATAGTTAACCATTGACCCCTATGAACCTGCACATGGTTGACAGGCTTTACACATGGTTTCACTGGAGTAAAACCTGAGTAAGAGTTACTTTGAGTAAATTGTGGTTGCTTTAATTTTTTTTGTTTATTTTATTTACTGTTTATAAGGCCGTTGTAAGGCAGTAGTTGATGTTGGTTTCACCAAAAAAAACCTCAGAGATGCCACTGATTAGTTGGATGATTGTTGTCAAATGAGCTGGAATGTTTGACATTCTCATAAAACACACTTTTTTCTAAGCTCAATATGTGAATATACAGGATAATCAATTATAAATCAATGCAGCAATTCACATGTTTTTTTCATATTTTAATAGTTGTGGTTATTCTGAAAAAGAAAATGTGAAATGCATCCAAATTTGACAATAACCAGAAACTTTGAGAGGCTGATAGAAACCCACTTTACTGCCTGGGACTAGAATGCTGATTAACCTGAAAAAAATCATTGTATTTGGTTTAAAAAAAAAAAACATTTGTCTCAAGTGTTAACTTTATAGTGGAAAACTGAAATAGTAGCAGTAGGAAAATGTAACAAGAATTAATTATTTAAGTGCAACACATATTTAGGGTTTGTAATAACTGATCATGATCAACTGTTACCAAAGAGTCCGGCATACATACACTGGCACACACATACCAGCAAACTTATGTAACAGGTGTGACATTCACCACAGAAGGAGGGAATATGGGAACACTTGCACTTGACCAGTGTTTTCAACACCACTGTGTCAACAGAACACCTGAATGGTGCCAGCAGTGTGTTTTCTGCCTCTTTAAGAGAACAGTGCTATGGCACATTAAAACCAGCTGCTAAATATAACATCAGAAAATGATGCCTGAATATTTAAATTGTTCATTTTAAATGTAAGGCGAGGGACCTTTCACTACCATCGTTATTATTATGAAATACAACAGTTAAGAAAGTCAGTTTTCAGTGTTTACTAGTTCAACCTACCCCCTGCAAGCACTTTGTGTGTGTTTATGTAACTCTGGAAATAAAGCATAAAAAAATGAAAATTTGACAAGATATTGCAATGAAATGATACTTTCTAATTAGATAATGCATTATGAGCTTTTAAAGTGCCCCACACTGACTGTCATCTTATCCACACAGACAATAGAGCTGTAGTTGCTGTCAGTTTTTTTTACATTGAATCACTTTAACTGCACCTTTTGCTTATCCCGTATATTGCTGTGATTGTGTCAAGGGTGTCGTATCCACTGGCGATGGAGGAGACAGCTCCCCCTAACCTTTCTCATTTTTGTCCCCTCACTTTTACAGTTTTTGTTTGATTCATTCACTAAAATCTTTCTAAACTGTGTCTTTTGAGTGTCCAACTGCCAGAATCCAGGTAGGATGAGATGATCAAATAGTTCAAATGTTCATCTCAGGATTTTTTTTTTTAAACCCTGGCAGCATAGAGGCTGCCCTCAGGGATGAATAAAGTCCCACATCTTGCAGGTGATAATTAAGTTTTTTCCCCATCATGAAGCACAACCGAAATAATTAGGCAACCAGGAATCGAAATTCCTTGTACACTGTTACTGATAGTTGATGGATGATGACAGAGCACATACAGCACATGCCTTGGAGGCCCAGCACACTGCATATTACACTGTGAAAATTGTTTTAGCAACTTTTAATTACTCATTAACCACTGAATTATTCTGCAGTAGCCAAACATGTTGCCATAATTATTTATGGCAATAAAATAAGCTCTGCACAGAAGACTGCATTGTGAGCAACACTAGTGTGGTTGTCAGAGTGCTCTAGTCTTATAGCTTGTGAATGAGCATAACTGCATACTGTGCATCAAATAAACATGGCTGACAGTGACTTTGAGAACTTCTTTATTTATCTACGGTAGGCTGGTTCTGCTCTCAAAGGATAAAACATCTTTTGGTCATGTTTTAAACACACAAAAATGTCCACCAAACTGACTGTACATTTGTACAATGAAAGGTAGCAAAATAGGCCTGTCTATAAAAAAACTACTACTAATCTAAATTTCAATTGGCTTCAGTAGGAACACAGAAGGCTTGCAAAAGATGTACGGTGACATGCACTGACTTATCCAATGCTTACTCTATATCAGTCAGAGCCAGCAGTCGGTATTTGTGGCAGTCTAACATTAGAAAATATATTCAATGACATGAGAAAACAAGAATTCATTAAGATAGAAATCGAACACAGTTTGGACACTGACACCATTTTACATGGTGCTCTCCTCACACATAAATACTCACTTCATTCATAAACTCCACTTTGACATCCAAGACACATGTAGACCATTTACAGTGTACTCTCCCACTGTTTTCATTATGAAATATCCTGTCACAAACTTTTAAATGATCTATAGCCTCTTTGTTTCCACATGCTGATGTAGATGTTGTTAGTTTAGAATGATAAACACTGTAATTAGGAAGTCAAACAGGAAGTAAAAAGATGAGCTCTGCTCAGATTAAAGCTAGTCACTAGAGCTACTGTCAACAGACCAGAGGATTTATTCACACAAACACAATTTAATTCCATACACTATCAGAGCAGGGCACACACACAAGATGCAGGTATAAACACACACTGAATTCATTGGAATAGGAAGGTTATTATATCAACCGGACTATCGGGTTTGGTTGCATTGTGATTGGATCTCAGTCAGGTGTAAATGACGTCTGTATGTATGATCACATTCTTAAGAATAAATATCTGCCAAATATGTTAATGTCAACTAACTATGCTTCCTCCTGTTCTGTCAAACTGCCAATAAAAATGTTCAAAAGGCTGAGGGTCCTCGTAGTCAGGTAGTGAAGACTCACGGCCACAGTACCCCGGGTCTGGCTCTGGCCAGGGACCTTTGTTGTACTGTATGTGTACCCCATTCTCCCTTTCTTGTCAACTGGCCAATAAAGGAAAAATGCCCTCAAATTGTATCTAAAAAACACATAAACAGATTAGTCCTTCATTTGCAATGGAAAAATAAGTAGAGCCCAAACAGCAGCATCAGAAGACTCTCAAGATGCTGCTATTAGGACCATGCGATGGATGGGGTACCTGAGCTATTACTAATGCTAGCAAAGTTCACCACTGGCCCTGATCCTTCTTACAATATAATTCATAATAGATATGTTACGAAAGTAGCATAAAATTTACTTTAGCTGCTGATGTGTGACCCTCACACCGGGCAACAGTATCCCGCATGGCTCCACCTTGACCTGTAATGCATCAGCTCCACCTTCATAATTGGCATGTTGAGGTCCGATCACAATGCAGGCTGATTTGAGATTATCTAAATACTTTTTACTACCAGCACGACTCGACTATGATCAGATGTCATTAGCCAGACGATGCCATTTTGTCTCCCTACAGCTATGTTCACTATGCAGCTCTTGTGTATTAGTGATTTAGATTAAGCAACGTGTCATACATAGCAGTGTAAAGTACAAAAAGGCTGTCAACATCAGAAAGTTGGATGGTCAGTGTCCTGGGTTCAAGTCTTGTTTCCTTACTTTTGCTTAACTTCTCTTACTCCTAATTTTGATCATGTGGTCTTACATGCCTTACATGACTTTAAACCCAAAATGTGTAGGATTAGAAAATGTTGTTCTTTGGTGCCAAAAATACTGTGGCATACATCAATGCATTGATTTTTTCGACATACACAAAATATTTTGAAAGATGTTATATTCTCACACCAAAAAAAAAATCTACACATATTGACTTTTCATGACTGGCAATACATGATGAAGTGACTAAAGAAACCTGGCAGGACTGACTGTCCATACATCTAGTAACTGGACTTCCCCCCTCAGTTGTATCAATGATATTTGTATTTAAAAATGTGAATGTACAGTGTATTTTGTCTGGCACACAGATGATCTACTGCCTAATCAATAGCGATGCATTGTGCATCTTCAAGTCTTTAAAGTGTTGGATCTGTTGCCTTCCTTTGCTGACGAGGTGTTAGGAGATGAGCGCAGAACAAATACGAACCATAAACATAGAGATGGCAGCATTGACAAGCAGCAGAAGAACCACAGGTGTAACATTACAGCTCGAGCTCACAGCTGGGAAAAGAAGACAACATCAACTGTAAAAGACCTGTTACAAAAACTGAATAAATATACATTTATTATAGATTTTTGTTCACTGAATGGTCATTTCTGGATGCAGCTTTTTGTGTAGCTTAAAAATACGTCCTACATAACTGGAACTAGTGTTAAATTGTATTGTATCAAGATTTTTGTCTTTGTTTATATTTGCTGACATACAGTATAACAATATCTATGTATATTGTATACACTGAATGTAAATGTAAATTGAAACATTAACACACAAGTCCAAATTACATTTACTTGTTTATTTTTTCTAAACTTTGATTAAAACAAAACACCAAATTACTGCATACATTTATAACATGGCACAAACTGAATAGAGCTGAGGGGTGTTTCATCAAGAGGGTGAGAAAAACAGGCTTAGTGGTGAAAATGAACAACATGGTGACGGTCATGGCCACAGTGCAGTACAACTCAAACTTGAAAACTAGCCTAATGGGAGCTGTTGTAATTGCACAAGACTTGATTTACTCCTGATATTTACTAGTTATGCTAGGATTCAGAAACGCAGGAATGATACACCTAGTACCTTGTAATCCCTTGTCTGCAAGTGTGTGCATTTTGTTAATATGTGTGTGTGTGTGTGTGGTCCTTACTTCGGCAGCTTTTCCCATCTTGCTGCAGCATCCCAGTCACACAGCTGCAGATGGGCCCAGTTTCCCTACTGGTGCAGATCTGCTCACAGCCGCCGTTGTCTTCCTCACACCAGTCCGATTCTGCAGAGACGACAGAGGTGGGTCATGAAAATCCTGCAAAAGCTGAGAACTTTGACTGAACAGCACTGAAAAGAACTCCTGTAATATTTACAGAGAAAAATGGGTTGGCTTCTTAATTACATTCTATGATGATTTAACCAGGACGATAAAGCATTTTTATACAGTTCTGATCAGAATTACTTCCAGTTCTGTCATCCGATAACAATGAGCCAATAGAAACACAGTTTCTCATCCAGAGGTTAAACCTGGGTGAGGTGCCAAAACCTTTTTTTTTTTCAGCTCAGTAAACCAGAACTGGACTCACCTCTCCTTCTTATTGGCCCCACAGTCAGTATGTGCTCTTTATGGTCGCTGTCATCGGAGTACATTCTTCTCTTGTGTGGACAGTTCTGGATGCACAGTACACACACAGTACATGAAAACAGTAGGCATTGCTTCATCACCACTTTGATTTAAGACTTTGGTTCTTCTAGAGTTTCTCACCACTTTGCAGGCATTTGTTTCTGAGTCACACAGGGAAACGTCACAGTGCAGGTGGACCTCATCGTAATCCCCAATGAACTTGAAGACGGTGACATGGAAGCGACAGGTGAGTGACATACCATTCTCTGCCATGCCAATGGTGTTGTCCTTAATGTTTGGGCACCTAATGAGAGCCAAATATTAAAGGAATACACCATGTTTCTGGGAGACTGACCTGTTGAATGTTCATGATATCCAGAAGAGGGAAATTATCCTCTTTGTGGTGACTTTCAGCAGCACACAGTCACCAATTTTATTTAATACTGCAAAAAGTAGTCACTACTACTTTTAGATTAGGTTGTATATCATTAACAACTTACAAGTTAGCTTTACAGCTGCTAAACAATCTAATTTTTAAGTGTGTTGGTAGTGCCACTGACCTGCTATTAATCATTAACAGCAAAAATCACTGAAGCCAAAAATCCCCTTATTCTCTAATTAAAAAATTAACACATAAAAGCTTTTTTTAAGCACTCTTTATACATTTACATTCCATATATTGTTATTTTCAGTTAGACTACTCATAAATATGTTACAATATATGTCCTAGGACAATGTCTAGAGAAAAAAAAACATTTTAACCACTTTTTTTTGCACAGGTTTTCGGTACACAGTATATATGAATGGAATGAATGCAAAATTTTGAGGAGCCATTTTCATAATTTTTTGAGATTCTGAGACATTTAACCAATAAAAAACACAATCAGTAGCTGAAGCATTAAAAAGTATGTGTAATATTTGCTCCAAGCCCTACTTTGTGTATGTGTGTGGATGCCAGACTTAAAAACTCTCCAGCCTACCCCCTCTCTATGATGATATAGCGGAGTCGATCGCTGCTGTAGCGAGAGGGTGTGGCCCAGCACATATTCACTATGAGGATCAGTTGCTTTTCATCTGCCCCTTCCACAAAGACGCCCACAAAAAGGACATCCCGTGTGCTGAGCACCACCTCCCCTTCTCTGTATGGATTCCGGTATGAGGAGTTCTTATACAGAGCCATCTTGGTGATGAAGTTTCCCTCCTGGGTTGGTAGGGTGAGGTTAATCACACTGGGGGTGATGGAAAAAAGAGGATGAGATTATTGTGTGTAGTTGTAGGATTTTGTTCTATCTGAAGTGAACATATGGTTCTAGACGTGATCCTCGGTTTTATGTATACTCTGTCTGACCTGAGCATGGGTTTGAGGACCGTCTCCAGCGAGATCTTCAGGTCCAGTTCATAGGCGCAGGAAAACTCCACGTTGATAGTCTTGTCTCTGGTGATGATATTGCCAGAGTTGTTCATACTCTCGATCCACACTGTGTTTTTGTACATAATGTGTGTGCCATTCGACTGTTAGGGAGATAAAGAGACATTTAGAGCATTTGCCACGAGGAAAGAAAAATACAAAGATGTTTGAAAACAGTCACTTAGTTACTCTCATGATAATTTGACATTACTGATATGGCTAAAAGAACAATCTGACATTTCAGGAACTGTCAACATTTGGGTAAATTTACTGATTTACATTCTTCCTGAGAGATGATAAGATTGACATGACTGTGTGTTAGCCTAACTTATAGCATACAGACTGAAAGAAGGGGAAACAGCTAGCCTGGGTCTGAAAAACAAAATTAAAAAATACACAAACAAGTACTTCTCATTCTACTAAGTACACTATTTATCTTGTGTATTATTGTTATAAAGTTCATTCAATCTGTACCTAAACAGATTTACAATTTCTGGTGTTAAACCAACAAAATACAATGGCTTAATTAGTACGTTGGTGAGATGCTATTAATCTTTTTTGTATTTTGCAAGATTTCTAGTATTTATGCTAATGTGAACTATAGACACCCCCCACCCCACTTTTGTAGTTATCAAACAGTCATGAAGTTTCATCTAATTGTCATAAAAAAGCAAATTACACGTTTCTCAAAATTCAACAGTTGCACAAAATGTGAACTGCCACATGGAGACAAGACAGATGCTGTGACAAAATAAAAATGTTGTTAATGTTAAAATAATATACGTAATTTAGAACCTTAGAAACATTCAACACTGCACTTAAGTAAAAAAAAAAAAAAAGACCAAATCACATTCTTAAAATGATCATGTTTGAAACAAGTAAAGCTTGAGAGCTCAAATGTGGTAAAATATTCCAAGACCAACAAAGGTGTGGAAAGAAACAAGTAATCCAGCTAGAAAGCAAAATAGTCAGCAAGAATGTGAATAAATGGTAATTCTGGAACCTGTACAATGGAGCCACAGTGTCCCTTTGTGTTGTTGATGTGGAACGAGATCAAGTCCTCTCCCTCGATGCCAGCACAGTGCTCATCGTTAATCCTGACGTCTTCTCGTTCAAAGCCCAGCTGGAAGAGCTTACATTTGGAGATGGAAACCTCCATCTGAGCATGCTTACAGGTCACCTCTGCCTGGATAATGTCATCATCTCCTGCCACAGACATCCATCACAGTTATTCCAAATACACTGCAGGTTCAGAACAACATTATTCATGAATGTCAATGGAAAGTGATTGCATCAACACTATGGATTAAAAAGAACACACTGAAGGAAATGATGAATAATGAATGTTTCTGTAAATTTCAGGCAGCAAAATCATTTGGCAGTGCTGAAATTTTTCAACAACATAACATTTAACTGCTGAATGATTTAAGGAAAAAACTATTTCCAGGATGAATTATTTAAATAATACTTTTTAATATGCTGAAGCTGTGTTTAAATCAAAGTTCTAAAAGAGGAATATGGACCAACAAAACACTGTGAAACCCCTAATATATGTTTACAAATCTTAACTATTTTTCTATAACACTTAATATTCATGACTAAATAAGCAGCACTTAAAGTTTAGTAACAGCCATTTAGACTATACTAGAACAAACAGGATTAAAGTTGCCTGTGGATGATATCACGTCACCTCCAGTGCTGGAAGGTAACTCTGGACAGCCACACAGGTCGCCTCCATTCTCCAGCTCACAGGTGAAGTTTGTGCAGATCTCTCCTGCACAGGGGTCATAGATCCATTCTGCTAAAAGACAGGTCCACACACAATGTTAGCTGTCACAGAAAATGTTAGCTTCATTAAACATGTATGTACCATGTGCTGGATAACCAGACAAAGTGTGTCTGGGGGAAAAAAAACCAAAACTTTTTGGTACCACGCTTGTAGAAGTGGTGCTTCAGGAACAATAAAACCCACTAGCATATCGTTTTACCCTGTATTATAAACATGTTGAAACCAGTTATTATATTCCGTGCTTTAAAATGTGACTGACTGCACAGAGACTGTGTGCTGAGAGAGGCTGGTGCCTCATGGCTCCCTTACAGCAGTTCTCTTGAGTGATCCACCTGGTGGTGAGTGTGCCCAGGGAGCGGCAGGCCTCAGCGTAGGCTGCCAGAGAGCCACAGACCTGAGCCTTGCGGTGATTATAGCAACCATCCAGGTAGCAGGACTGGTAGAAGGGTCGAGGATCCAGCAGACCATGGCATGGCTGGAAGAAGCCCTTCAGCTGGGTAAGTTTCTGACAGGTATCGTCTCTCTGCAGCGCCAGCACCGCAGTGTTGTCACAGGACTGAGACAGAGCCACGTACTGGGTCTCATCACAGCTGAAGGAGAAAAACTGCTGTGTTAGTTGTTACTATATTCATTTTTTTCCTCTTATTTATAAGTAAATATGTACACACTGCTACAGTACAGACTGTGTGGGCTCATGTCATTAAGACAATGTCAGTAACAATGAGCAATATTACTGTCCCAGCTAATGTTGTGCAAAAGCTAGCCTTTTGGGTGAATTAATGACAATTATGAGTAACAAAGTGCTAAGTCAAAGATCACCAGCAAATGCGCGAGTGGGCAACAACAGGTCACCTCATGTCAAACTCAAGAAACAACTGTTGGTGATGAAGCTAACAGAAAAGTTCCTTTTATAGTTTTTAAAAAACCACAGCTCTGAGGAAATGACAGACAGACAGATCATTCTTTCAGTCTCTAAACTAAAAAGCTAAGCCATACAGCAGATGAAGCCTCTCCTAGCCCTACATACAACCAGCTCACCTTGTATACCAAGCCCTCACTGCCATTTTATCTGAAGCAAGGTCAAGTCCAGATATTTACATGCATACTCTTGCTCGTAAATGTCATACCAAGGTCAGTGGAGTGACATGAGAATTCATTTGGAGTAATGTCTGTCCAGCTGAAAAATGTAAGTGAGGTGGACCGATTCATTGTAGTTTGGTTTCCAATATCCCCTGAGTGAAATACTGTATCTTGTGCTTTAGCTGCTAAACTCTCACCAGCCAGTTTTTAATCTTTGTAATTTGGTGCTGATCAGGAAGTCTACAGTTTACCACAAAGATTTCATAGAAAGTAACGCATAACACATACAGTGGTGTGAAAAAGTGTTTGCCCCCTTACTGATTTCTTATCTTTTTGCATGTTTGTCACACTGTAATGTTTCAGATCGTCAAACAAATTTACAGTGCCTTGCGAAAGTATTCGGCCCCCTTGAACTTTGCGACCTTTTGCCACATTTCAGGCTTCAAACATAAAGATATAAAACTGTAATTTTTTGTGAAGAATCAACAACAAGTGGGACACAATCATGAAGTGGAACGAAATTTATTGGATATTTCAAACGTTTTTAACAAATAAAAAACTGAAAAATTGGGCGTGCAAAATTATTCAGCCCCCTTAAGTTAATACTTTGTAGCGCCACCTTTTGCTGCGATTACAGCTGTAAGTCGCTTGGGGTATGTCTCTATCAGTTTTGCACATCGAGAGACTGAAATTTTTGCCCATGCCTCCTTGCAAAACAGCTCGAGCTCAGTGAGGTTGGATAGAGAGCGTTTGTGAACAGCAGTTTTCAGTTCTTTCCACAAATTCTCGATTGGAATTTCTTTTGGAATATGACTAAAACTAAGAAATATATTTTACCTTTAAAAAACATGATTTCAGCTCTCTAGATGCACATTTATCAAAGCTGCATTCAAATGCTTATGCCTCATAAAACATAACAAAATTACATCATATATAGCTACTAAATATTGAAAAGTGTGGTAAGATGTGGCCAGCAGATGATCCGACTTTAAATTAAGTCTTTGCTTTCCTTTCTGCTCACTGTAGTTAGACATGAGTACAAAAACATAAAAATCAGCAGGAGAAATTTTGCTGGGCAGCACCTCCCAAACATGTATTGATAGGTCAACACAAGATTGCCTGCAGAACCCTCCCTTAGAACAACCCATCACTGTCTGTCCTTCCTGAATTCAGATTTATAGGTTCAAAACTACCCACAGCTTTACTAATATAACCCATATTAACATTTCCCCCCATGGTGTCATCCTCCCAGAACGAGGGTTTGATTGGGTTTAATCATTTGCTGTAAGAGGAGTGCTCACAGGCTTCCATGTTCAAATGTGTTAGCAGATGACAGACAGTGGGTGTAAATGGAAATAGCAATGTGGAGACTAAAGTTAATGGGAGCCACATTGATCTGACATGACAAAAACAACGTAGCAGGACAAAGATACACATAATCAGTAGGTCAGATCCAAACTGAAACCTTCAGTGTACAGTGGGAGATGTGTCTTTTCCACACTGATGGAATTTTGAAGTGTTGACAACAAAACTCCATATCCCTCTCTGTTTCTTTCAGCCAAGCTGAGATCTCTGATCCCAAAAATATTTTAGATAATCATGCAGTAAACTGCTTCAAAATACATGACCTCATGTTATAGCAGGTGTTTTGATGACAAAGGTAGAGTTTCCCTGATCATGTTTCTACCTGCAGTCATTGTTTTCACATTCCAGCAACAGAGTTCTCGTTAAACTTTCCCACCCTTCCTTAAACTTACAGTGGTGTGAAAACGTGTTTGCCCCCTTACTGATTTCTTATCTTTTTGCATGTTTGTCATACTGTAATGTTTCAGATCATCAAACAAATTTAAATATTAGTCAACGATAACACAAGTAAACACATCATGCAGTTTTTAAATGAAGGTTTTTATTATTAAGGGAAAACAAAATCCAAAACTACAAAGCCCTGTGTGAATAAGTGTTTGCCCCCTAAACCTAATAACTGGTTGGGCCACCCTTAGCAGCAACAACTGCAATCAAGCGTTTTCGATAACTTGCCATGAGTCTTTTACAGCGCTGTGGAGGAATTTTGGCCCACTCATCTTTGCAGAATTGTTGTAAGTCAGCCACATTGGAGGGTTTTCGGGCATGAACTGCCTTTTTAAGGTCATGCCACAGCATCTCAATTGGATTCAGGTCAGGACTTTGACTAGGCCACTCCAAAGTCTTCATTTTGTTTTTCTTCAGCCATTCAGAAGTGGACTTGCTGGTGTGCTTTGGATCATTGTCCTGCTGCAGAACCCAAGTTCGCTTCAGCTTGAGGTCACAAACGGATGGCCGGACATTCTCCTTCAGGATATTTTGGTACACAGCAGAATTCATGGTTCCATTTATCACAGCAAGTCTTCCAGGGCCTGAAGCAGCAAAACAGCCCCAGACCATCCCACTACCACCACCATATTTTACTGTTGGTATGATGTTCTTTTTCTGAAATGCGGTGTTACTTTTACGCCACACATAATGGGACACACACCTTCCAAAAAGTTCAACTTTTGTCTCGTCTGTCCACAGAGTATTATCCCAAAAGTCTTGGGGATCATCAAGATGTTTTCTGGCAAAACTGAGACGAGCCTTTATGTTCTTTTTGCTCAGCAGTGGTTTTCGTCTTGGAACTCTGCCATGCAAACCATTTTTGCCCAGTCTCTTTCTTATGGTGGAGTCATGAACACTCAGCTTAACTGAGGCAAGTGAGGCCTGCAGTTCTTTGGATGTTGTTGTGGGGTCTTTTGTGACCTCTTGGATGAGTTGTCGCTGCGCTCTTGGGGTAATTTTGGTCGGCTGGCCACTCCTGGGAAGGTTCTCCACTGTTCCATGTTTTCGCCATTTGTGGATAATGGCTCTCACTGTGGTTCGCTGCAGTCCCCAAGCTTTAGAAATGGCTTTATAACCTTTTCCGGACTGATAGAGCTCCATTATTCTCTTTCTCATTTGTTTTTGAATTTCTTTGGATCTCGGCATGATGTCTAGCTTTTGAGGATCTTTTGGTCTACTTCACTTTGTCAGGCAGGTCCTATTTAAGTGATTTCTTGATTGCGAACAGGTGTGGCAAGAGAAATTGAACTCAGGTGCGATAAACCAGTGTTTTGACAGGGGGGCAAACACTTGTTCACACAGGGCTCTATAGTTTTGGATTTTGTTTTCCCTTAATAATAAAAACCTTCATTTAAAAACTGCATGATGTGTTTACTTGTGTTATCTTTGACTAATATATAAATTTGTTTGACGATCTGAAACATTACAGTGTGACAAACATGCAAAAAGATAAGAAATCAGTAAGGGGGCAAACACTTTTTCACACCACTGTAACTGTTGAAACTAGTTTGAGGAAAGTGGAGTTTGCACAACATAAAACTAAAATAATAAGCTAAAAGAAATGTAGAGCTGGGTGCTGAATCTCTGTGGATTTGTCACCTTTAATCTTTTATATATTCTGGGGATGACCTCTAAACTGTTTCACAAGACTTGTATATAGTTGCATTCATGTACAGTGCAACGATATATGCTACCATGTCAGTAAGTCCACCTGTTCTGGATGCCGTTGGTCTTCCAGCTCTGGGCCAGCTCCAGGGCGCTGACAGCCGGCTTGCCCCTAGAAGTGATGTAGTCATCGCTGGGGTCTCCGTTGAAATTCCCACAAAGACCACACACCTTGTTCTGAAGCCGCTGACCCATTGTGATGCTAAGGGTGTTAAAGCGATTATATCGAACCTGGATGTCCTGGGGTGTGTCAATGACAATAAAACCCTCGGATGTGGACAGGCGTGTCATCAGCCCAGTTAGAAACGGTACTGATACTGGTGTACCATTGACCTGGGAAGACATAGAAATCTTCAGATATCTGAGAAAGGACACACAGTCACAAAGCAATTTAACTTCATTAATTTTCACTGACCACCACTAGCATATCATTACATGCTATTTGACAGCAGGTGAAATAAGGACAGAATTAGTGTTACACAGACTCTACTGTTGTTTCTGGTAAAATCATTCAGAAAAGCCAGAGAGATTTCCCTGATTTAAATGAATATGACCTAAGCCACTTCAGAGAGATACCACAGATATTAACATACTGTAGTTCTTAAGGCAGTTCAGATCAATGTTGTGCTCACTGGGAGCCACAGTTAGGGGTAATCAGCACTTCATTAACTACCTCTCTGAGTGCACATTCAGTGATGTGGCCTAAAGCCAGAGCTGGAGGAGCTCTAACAGGCAGGTCAAGTGGTTAGTTGGACTTTGAGGACTCTTTCACATATTCAGGAAAGAAAAGAAAGGTGTGAAGTGAATATGTTTGCTTAGTTTGTTGAGGAGATGTTTGATAAAGGTGTCTTTGACAAGCAGATGGCACAGTCAAAAGAAAGTAGACTAGAGATAGTAGTTTCATTACATTTTGGCTGAAAGCAGAAAATTACACATGAAAGTTGAGCTCATATACAGTCTTACTCTGTTAAACAGTACACACTTATAGGTTTTGCAGTTACAGCTGCACTTGGTCTGGTATGACCAGTGGATACCAGCGGTTATTGTTTGCAAACTGTAGCTAGATATTGCTAAGTAACTGACATTACTAAGCATGCTTACTTTATGAATCTTCTTAACATGGGTCTCAAACTATGTTTTAGAACTATGTTTTAGAACCTAACATTATCCAGTAATTTCAGCAGAAGTTGCAACTACATTAATTTGTTTTGGTCACCTGCACTGTCAGACTTGTAACAGCAGAAGTTACAAAATGACAATTTACAGTACACATCCTGTGGTCACTGAAGCAAGGTTAATATTACATAATGTTTCCGGATACCTGACAAACTCAAGTCCAATATTTACTCTTTTCCTTGCTCTTTTTAGACCAAAACAACAAGTTGATAGATGCCACAAGGATCAGTAGAACTAGAGGGACCTGCAGAGGCGTCAGCTTGTCACTACAGGCAACACTTTTTACAATACACAGACCTGATTAAGCCATTATTAATATAAAACTGTTAATACAGGAGTAAGGTCTGAAATATAATATACCATACGGTGGTTAACCAGTAATGTCCAATATTTGGCTGGTACACTAACTAACTAATTAACACTTCTCTCACCTTGACAGTGCTGCCAGAGATGAGTATATTCTCCTCATTGATGTAAAGGTAGATATGAGAGATGGTGGTGAGGTTGGGTGTGCTCCATTTATCAAAATTAGCAATGAGTTGGAAGGAGAGATCAGGCAGCTTGTGACAGTTTGTGGACAAGACGAAGGAGCAGGAGGCAGGGAGCCGCAGCGATGCCCCATCGAAGGTTCGGAGCGCCTTGGGTCACACTGGATCAGGTTTCGCCCAATGCACTGGCAGCGTTTGGTGCAGTCACTGTTCCAAAACAGCTGCTTGGGCTGAAATAAATAAAGGCTGACTGACTGATTGACAGAAAAGCATTTTTAACTACTTTGTGATAATGAAAATCATGAAATATTCATGCAAAATGAGTCCAGTTAACATTAAACCAAAACAAAACTGGGCAATACTCTAACCTAAGATTTGCTTTGAGTGAGATAAGGTTCATTGCAAGTTGTCACTGTCATATGTACTGACAATCACTGGCCACTGAAGACCTTTAATAAAAATCCAGTTTTGACTGCGCTTCTCTAAGTTTATTCCATGTAATGCTTTATGTGAGACTGACCTCATAGTACTTGCCATCAGTGTAGCAGCCACAGTTCTGAGGCAGGATGCAGCTCTTTCCGTTGAGTACATAGCCCTGGTCACACTGGCAGCCCTCCACGCAGTCTTGGCTGCAGTCCCTCTGGCCACGGGCTGGGGCGCACTGGGGCTGGCAAACTGACATGCAACTGGAGTAATGGCTGTTAGGTGGACAGCCCTGGACTGGGAGCAGGCAGGTTGGCAATGATATTAGCTAATTGTAGTGACTGCAGTATACACACAGGAAATTTTCATAAGTGTGGATTTTTCAAGGGTAAATATTTGTGGACAAGCACTGGGTCAGTGTGAGTCATTGTCCATATCAAGAGCTGACACAGCTCTACAGCAGCTGTTCCAAGGAACTGTTAAACATTTTGGGAAATATGCTTAATTGCTTTCTTTCAGAGAAGAAGATAAAAGATTGATTCCAGTCTTATATCTATGAGGTGCTGGGCTTAAAACCTTAAATAAAACTAAAACTATCTGCATGGGTAGATACCACTAGAAGTAAATGAGAAAGTATGTTTTCTTGTAATATATGGGGAGACCGCTGCACACACAATCAAAGCACATGCTAAAATTAAGGTAAGTCCAGACTCACCACATGGTGTACCACTTCTCCAGTCAGTAACAGGCACTCCTTGGATCTGACAAGTGCTGGCATAGATCTGCAGCCAGTTACAGATTGTCTCCTGAGCTCCCTGGTCCAAACAGGTGTCCTGCAGGCAGCTTTGATAAAAGAAGGCTGGCGCCACCTTGCTGTGGCAACGTGCAAACCCACCTCCTCGATCCACTATTAGTCCACACAGTCTGACTGCCTCAGGCTCCACGAACACATACAGTCCATTTCCAATGTGAAAACGTATGCCTGTACCAACTTCGTTTGCCCCAGTGTCAGTGTTGTCAGTGTTGATGTCCATATTAGTATCAGCCACAATGAGAGGGGCATTGTTTTGCATGCTTTTCTCTCCCAGACCACAGCGCGGGCAGGAGTCTCCACAGCCCACCTGGCAGAAGGTGTCCCTCTCTGCCCAGGCCATGCCCCAGTCAGTGGTGGTGAGGGTGGGTGGTGATAAGGGCATGTCCTGGCAGAGGCCACAGGAGGTGTTGTAAAGCCTGCGGGGCAAAGTCAACAGGAGAAGACTGTTCCAGTCAAAGGCCACTTTCAAGCCAAAGTCTGTTTCCAGAACGAGCTGCATGCCCAAGGAGAAGATGTTGACCTTCCCTGGGCCCAACTTCAGAGGAAGGTACAAACGCTCCTTATTCACCTGAGTGAAGAGAGATTTAATAAAACTAGTTCTATTTTGAACAGATTTAACTCTTAATCTGGAATCTCCGTCAGTTTAGCACGAATGTATGGTGTCTAATTAAACCGACCTGGATACTATATTCAGTATATGAGGAAACCTAGGAGACCACTGGATAACATTAAGGAAAAGTGAAGGATTTCCTCTGTGATTCTCATATAAGAGAGAGAAAGACACAGGAACAGAAAGAATGAGAAAAATGTGTATGTGTTGGGCTATGTGTGTCATTTCTATTCCTTCTCAGATCTTTTATTTAGTTTGTGAAGCAAGTCCAAATGTCACTCTGTTGAGGTTCTGTCTGAGCCAAATCCAGCCCGATAAAAGATGCCCATTGAAACTGGATCCACCTTAAGCCAGTCAGAGAGGAATTCACCCTCTGCTTGGTTATTTCATCAGTTTGATTAGAAACATCATGCCCTCACAAATAAAACTATGACCTTCACAGGTCATGCAAGAAAAAAAAGCTGTTATAATATCACTAAGGTCACAGCTTTTAGTCATTTGGCGCATTCCTTATTACAGCTAATCTCAGATCACTTTTATTACTCTTCATGCACTCACCGTAACTGTGTTTTTGTAGGTTCGAGAGACTTCGATCTCATACTCATAGATCTCCAGTACAAAACCCCTCACCCATATTGCCTGGCTTGTGTCCCTTTCCTCATTCCGAGCTGCAAATTTAAATTGAGGAAATGTTCCACTAAAAGGTGCATGGTCTCTGTTCTCTCTTCCACAGTTGGTGGTGGCCATCATAAGGGTACAAGAACTCTGCAGCTCAAATGGTATACCACCAAATGGTAGAAAATGGCCATAACCAGCTGCCACACACAGAGCCTCAGTGCGTGGCTGGCAGAAATACAGGCCATCATTCTCCTGACAGTACTCCTCAGGGTGACAGGGTGCGAACTGACAGTACACACTGTTGTCAGAGCCATTGCAGTAGCAGCGCTCCTGGCATTCCCAATTTGTCCAGAAAGTCTGGTTAGTGGCCAGCTGGCGCCTGTGGCTCATACATCCACAATCACTGCGTAACACACACAGGCCATCCCGCAGAGCAAAGCCTTCCTCACACTGACACCCTTCCTGGCATGGCAGAGGACACGGCTCTTCAGGCTCATCCAAGTTGGAGCAGGTCAGAGGGCAGGCGCTGGTGCACTCATCAAAATGGCTGTTCTCTGGACATGGAAGAGCTGAGACAGAAGAGAAAGGTAAGAGAAAGCAAGAGACAAGGAATGACAAAGTCCAAATCTATGTTAGAAGAATAATCCAATGAAAAGTTTTTGTCTGGAGTATCAAATACCTGCCCTTCTGTAGTATTGAATAGCAGCTTTGAAAAATTATAGCCAAACAAAAGCTTTTGTTTGATGCCAGCAAGGTAGCTGGTTTAATATGTCTGATGAAGTTTTCTTATAATGGACAAACAAAATATGACTGTTGGGAGCATATGGAGCATATGAACTGGGAGCTGAGAAATGGACCATGCTAAACTAATCATTTGAGAAGTTTCAATTGACGTTTTGAAACTAGATCGCCACTGGAAAGGGAGTAACTGTCAAGAACCCAAGCTGACTACAGTGGCTGTGTGCAAGCTTTAAGAGCATCTTTCAAGCGCACCAGTGTGAATGTTTGATTTTTCATGGAGCAAACCTTTAAAGAATAAAGAGTGCTCTGATTGTAGCAGGTTTACATGGCTTGACAGAGTTTTTACAAAAAAAAGGGGAGGAAATGACAGAAAAGGTTTGAAACCCACTGCTGCAGAGGAAACTAAAAATAACTACTGGTTAAAAAAGCCATTTATCAAAAAGTAGAAAGGGAAACTGCTAGTCATATTTTGCGAAAAACATGCTTTCCATAAAATTAAAGTCTGCTTTTTATATTTAGCATGTGTAAAGAGCACATTTTTATTAAACGTTTTGGGGTGTTATAGTCTAGTTTGCTTGCTAACAAGAGATATTTGTTAGAAGACATTTTTCATTATTTTATTTTATTTGTTTATTTATTTTAGTGGGAGAGCCAAGCTAGATGTTACTGTGCCTTTGCTCTGGACACACAGAAATAACCTCACATTCCAAACAAGCGAAACATCAGCCTCTTCCTTTAAAGTACAGCTGCTCTATATCTACTCACGGCAGTTGGTGGCACTTCTCCAGTAAGTGAGGCTGACTTGAGCATCCTGACAAGCGGTGGCATAAGCCTGCAGTGATGAACACAGGGCTGAACGGTTCCCTTCCTTTACACACATATTATACAAGCAGTTCCTGAAGAATGGTGAGGGGTTGACCACTGTATGACATGCCAGAAATGAACTGTTCCCAGGGTCATTGATGTTGCCACACATCCAGGGACTCTGGTAGAGACGCAAGTCTGTGCACATGCGATAGAGGTCATCACAGTCACCATTACAAGTGATGTCATCGGCAATGGACTGCCAGCTCTCTGTGAACTGTTCAGTAGACTCTGCTAGGCGTCCATTAGGGAGGCGAAGGTCATCAGTGGCGTTGTTATTGAAAACACCACACAGACCACAAGTAATGTTGTAGAAGAGCGTGGAGAGGGAGATATTGAGGAATCCTTGGCGTGTGTAGTGGACACGAAGCAGATCTTTGGACTCCACCACTGTAGCATTGCCTGGGGCTCTGTATATCATCATTGTCTCCATTGGATGGACATATGGAAGTGCCACTGGTTCACCATTCACCTGGAACATATGCCATATGCATTCAAAAGCTGAAAATGGAAATGAAAAAGGTTTTGCATAGTTGAAAAAGAAAGTACTAACCTTTACTATGTTAAAATCCATCCCTCCCATCTGAGCTTCCAGGTTAGCCACTGTAACTATTACAGGTCTTTTCCAAGCAGGGCCTTTGCTCACCAGTTGCCTGCCCATCTTCACCTCCACCAGCGATCCATTAGCTGGCACTGCGGCACACAGCTTCAGCAGGTAGTAGGAGCTGTCATCAGGAAAAACCAGGAAGGTGCCATCAAAGGAGGATGTCATTGAGGTCTGGGTGAGTGAACACACTCCCTCCCGCTGAGGGTAGCAACCTAGCAGGCCCACCTCCGCCACACACACTTCACCATCCTTACAGGACTCATTGAAGCAGGACACTTCCCCAGCAAGCTCACAGGTACAGCGGAGGTTACATTCACCTTCTTCACCGCTGGGGCCTGTCCAGAATGTGTGATTAAGGGGGTAATAGAGGCCATTATGCTCACAGCCGCAGTCTTCATACTGTACGCATCGGCTGCCACTGAGAACATAACCTGGGTCACACTGGCAGCCCTCAGTGCAAGGGTGGGCACAATATAGGGGAGCGGTGAGGTCCGAGCATGAGGCTGGGCAGGCACTTGTGCACACTTGGTAATTGCTGAACTCTGGACATGACAAAGCTGAGACCAGAAAAAGAGAAGAAATCATGTCAATTGACACAAATAAATGAATGTGCTGTAAGCTGAAGGATCAGCGTAATTCAAACTGAGTCTCACCACAGAAGGTGCGAGATCTCCAGGGCCGTATAGTGACACCCAGGGCCTGACAAGCCAGAGCATAGGCCTGGATACCTTGGCAGAGTGTGGTGATGTTATCCCTGTTGCTGCACATGTCATATACACAGCTGTAAACAAAGGCTGTAGGGTCCACTACGGCTCTGCAGTCCCTAAAAGGTCCATCAGTTTTGTTGATGAACCCACAGTAGTCCGAGCGAAAGTAGAAGGCTTCTGTAAGAGGGTCACACAAACTGCAGTTCTGTGCACAGCCATCTGTACACCTCCAGTCTGTGTCCTCCGCTCTCCAGCTACCCCCTAACTCCACCACGCTTTCTGCTAGAGAGCCGTCAAGAAGCACAGGATCATCAGCAGGATCATCATTATAATTACCACAAAGGCCGCAAGTGTTGTTGAAGTAGGAGCTGGGTAGGGAGATGGATGCATAATGCTGGCCATCAAAAGTTACCAAGAGTCCAAAGTCTGTTTCTAGAGCAACAGCAAACCCAGACTGGTATACCCTGACAGCACCAAGCTGGAGCTGGACAGGTAAAGTCTTCATCAAGCCATCTACCTAGAGAAAGCAAGAGCGGAAAATTCAGAAAAGGAACAACGAATAACTTTCCTCCTGTCATCTCATCACAACAGAATTCTCAAAACATGAATTGCAGATCATCAAGTGTAAATGCATCCACATACAGTACTGTATATTAAATCAGCACAAAGAAGTAAACATAAGGCAAATATTGTGGTTATTCCTGATACAAAGTGGTCTAGTAAATTCTTACCTGGGCTGTTCCAAAACCACCTTTGGATAGCACCACTCTGTGACCATATACCTCTACTGTGACATCTCTGAGCCATGAAACAGCAGTGACCCCACGGTTCTCATTTTTGGCCACTACACTGAAGGGAGGCAGCCCTGCCACCTCCCAGCAGGGCTGAGCCAGCAGGTAGGAGCAGGTTCCCTGAAAGTGATACAGGAAGCCATCGAAGGTGTGGTAATGAGGGTCACCAAACACCACACAAGTACTGGTGCGGGTCGGCTGGCAGTAAAAGGCCCCATCCTGCTGTTCGCAGGTCTCCAGCTGCCCGCATGGAGCCACTTGGCACTGCACCACATTGTCGATGTCAAGGCATCGGCATCGCTGGGAGCACTGATCAGATGACCAGAAGACTTCCCCTCGTCTGTAATAACGTCCTGAAGAGGATGTAGAAGAGCCACTTCATTCCAACAGTTCATTGACTGCTCTTAAGAGTTTGCTACACTGAGGATGCAAAGACAGCTGCTTCGCAAATACTGTAATTACCCTGTGTGGACATAATAATCAGTATTTGATGCTTGAACTTGCCATTATAGCTGCAGCCATTGGCGGGATCTATCTGTTCAGTGTCTACACGGAAGAACCAGCGCCCAGGAATGTTTACATTGGTTGTCTGTTCAATGTTCACCACCTCATTGGACCGTGATCCTGGCAGGTTGAAGAAGTGACCAATATCTCCACCATTAAAACCTGACTGAAAAGCAGAAAAGTGTGAGGGACAAGACATGAAATGTTTATATTTAATCAACAATAGCTTATTATTCATTTAAAAAGTATTAATATTATTTTGTTTGAGAATACCTGAGCGGTTGTCCCTCCCAGTCCCGTTAAAGGATCTCCACCACTGGCTGTTCCTGTGCTCCATGTTATTTCTCCATAGTTGAACATACTGAAGAAAGCTATGCCATCTGACATTAGTACAGTTTGGAATGTGTTCACCTTTTAATAAACCAAAAGGATTAAAATGTATCAACAAAGGCAAACAGACTCATACATAAAGCATAACAAGCAACAAAATAATACCATAATGGTAAACAAATGTTCACTTGCAGACAAAAAATAAATAAATAAATAAAAATTCACTAAATTGTTTGAGAACCTGCCTCACATTGAAATGGTCACTGATGTTATGGAAACCATGGTTATATGTAACTAAAAACATGATCTTTTAACCTAATTTATTCCAGTTTTAAATGTCTTTTGATGAGTAAATCACCAAATAAATGCATTACTGATGAGGTAGAAAAGTACTGTAGATTGACATTGTTTTAGCCTATTTAGCACAAAATAAGGATATTAACAGCTATCAAGGTAAAACAAATACAGCTTGCGACAATACCAGATCAGCCTTATTTACATATTGTATCTTGTTCACGTAACTCATGTTGGTCAAGGCAATTGCTTGTTTTTCATAAATTATAGTCATCCACCCTATCTTGGGTAAGACAGTAAACTAAAGAAGCTTAAATAATACTACTAGCAAAACAGGTTTTAACACTGAAAACCACTTTACTGTAAATATACCAGTTGTTCTCCACGTACTGTAACTGTGTGGAAATGTGTGACCACAGTACTTTGTGTATTATTCAAGGTTTGGGATTTACCGGGGTTGTCTGGCTTCCTCCATAAAAGGTGACTTGGTGCCATGTTGCAATAAAGACCCAGGTAGCTGTGAAAGTGGGCATGTTTTTGAAGTACTTCCGGACATCTTGTGTTGCCCTTTCCAGTATTTCTGGTTCAGTGGATTCTCTGTAGTACACATCTCCACGGATGCCGTTGTGTACATCCGCCCAAAGCGGGGCAATGAATGATCTGCTGTCACTCAGGGGAAAAGCCTCTGGTGTGAATTGGCTGACCTGCACGTTGAAGGAGATCACACCATTGTTGTTGACCTGTGAAAAGGAAGGACAGTTGTGTTTTAGCCTAATACACTATAATGTACTGTATTCTTTATACATTGTTATATACATTTTTGTATTATTAACAATTATTTTAAGACTGATGGAGGACATCAAGGCTTACATAGATGGACCGATGGGGGACATCGAAGAAAACAAAAGAAATGAGCAAAGTAATTTCAGATGAACTCCCATCATCCATCTTAGGGGTCTCTAGATCTCTATGTCCGGGTCCATATGGATACAGGATATCCTGAGTACTAGCTAAAATAAGAAAATGACATAAGGGTTCATTGAATGGACCATTATCAACCTGAACAAATGAAGAAATTGCTGCCAAGTGTTTATTACACTCCGGGTATTAAGGTGTATTGGTGCTTATGTCATACCTCTCGACTGTGCTAAGATACTGAAGAGGTGAAGCAGAATGACTGGGCAGCCTGGCCGGACCATTCTAAAAAAAACACAAAAGGTTACACTGAACTGATGTTTTTTTATCAGTCTTGCCTTTTCCTTAAACCTAATGGAAATGCAGAAAGACATGAGTCATAGGACAAACTTTCTTAAACAAAGCTGTTTGACAAAAGAGAGGAGGGGGATCAACGTCACATTACTTCTTTAAGATCAGGCTCCCAGGTCTCCCAGGGGAGCCCTGAAAAAGCCCTATTATGCATGCTAGAACAATGTATCAGGATCGCATTTGCCTTAAAATCCCATGTGAGTGGGCAACAGCGAACTAGGGGCCTCTCAGTGCCGCAGTTCGCTGCAGCTGACTGAAGTCACTACGTCTGAAGCCACAAGGCTGCTCAGGAGCTCATTACCACTTGTGTTTGGGAGCCATCCATGCTTTGTTGGCTAAATGGACAAGAGCATAAACATTGGGTTACTAATGGCTTAAACAGAGTAGGTTTGAATTGCTAAGGGCCTTGCAGTGGGGTTGTTCAGTGCCTGGCTTGGCAAGGATCCCAGCATACTGCCAAGTTGTCAGATTTTACAATCATCATATAGCATTTGCACTTTATTGTGTAATAAAATTGAAAGAAACTTCAGCCTGTATACTGAGTAAATGAAAGCAATAACCAATCCGTACTTATATGCCAGCTCTACACATAATTTAAAACCGGTCTCTTCTGGGTATCATAGACCTTGTTAGATATTATGCCTTTCTCAATCTGCATTTCCATTTGTTGTGTTATTTTGGGCACGTGATTCTGTCACAATTTGAAATCCCCACTGGTATCCCACCAAGCATTTTACATCAGCCAGCAGCAATGGTGAAGGACACGAGGAAGCCCAACAACTGCCTGAACATTCATTCTACAACTGTTGGTTTGCCACCAAGTTTACAGTAGTTATGGGATTTTAGGCAAGAAATTAACAGTGAAAGCTTCTAATGTAGATCATTTATCAAAATAATGTCGACATGTATTCCAGCATTTTGGGGATGTGACAAGGAGCAGCTGTGGTATGTGCTGTCAGCTGGACCCTTCTCTCATCTCCCTAATGTGTGAATTCTATTCAGCTTGATGGTAAATTGTGTTCAGGTGTGCTAAGGTTAGTGCACACTGCTGAGAGAGGTGTGCTGTAGTCTCATCAACGTCTCAAACTGTAGCAAAACTGTACTACAGGAGGGTGATTAATGAACAAACAGTACGGAGGCTTAAGGAGGAATTAATGGGGCAGGAATGGGAAGCAGTATACAGAGAGGAAGATTTAGATAAAGCATATGAACAATTTTGACATATATTTCAGGAAGTATATGACAGGACCTGCCCACATAAGCAGTATAAAAACAAAAGGAATTACAGTGAGAAACCATGGATAAGTAAGGGATTACAGAATGCATGTAAAAAGAAGAATGCACTATACAAGGATTTCATAAAAGACAGATCAAAAAAGACGGAAGCAAAATATAAGGCGTACAAGAACAAATTAATTGAGATCCTGAGGAGATGTAAGAAACAATATTACTCTAAAGTATTGGAGGATACTAAAAATAACATGAGAGGTACTTGGAATATATTAAATAAATTGATTAGAAACAATTCCAGTAAGAGTAACTACCCCCAATACTTTATGGATACACCGGTCATCAGAATGGAGGATGCAGTTGATAAGTTTAACAGATTTTTTGTGAATGTTGGCCCTAGTTTAGGAAGAAGCATTTGTACAGATGCTTCAGCCGTCACTAGAAATAATAATACAATTGAAAGGAACATGAGTTCTATGTTCTTGAAGCCAGTAGTTGAAAAGGAAATTATAGAGATAGTAAATAAATGTGATAACAAAACATCAAGTGATAGTGATGGTATCACCATGACAACTGTAAAATGGGTAATTAAGGAGATAGGCAAACCATTAACATACATTTTTAACATGTCATTTCGACTTGGGCAGTTCCCTAACAATATGAAAATTGCAAAGGTTATCCCTCTGTATAAATCTGGTGATAAACACAACTTCACGAATTATAGACCGGTTTCTCTGTTGTCACAATTTTCAAAAATTCTGGAAAAACTCTTCAATAACAGATTAGATACATTTATTGACAAATGTAAAATCCTCTCTGATTGTCAGTATGGTTTTAGGTCGAACCGGTCGACATCTTTGGCCATTAC